AAGTTAGTGAGGAACCTTAGACCTTTCGTTCCCACCACCTAAACGTCCCCAAAAAAATGTCCAACACGGCGATTCTGTCGCCGTCTATTCATACGTTTTCAGCCAAGTCAAGCCGGTTTTAAGCGGCTATTGGGTGAACCGAACCGTTTTGCCTCGAAAAGGTTCGTGCCACCCGGTGGCAGCAGACGCGGCCTCAAAAGTGTTGCAGGGCCCCTTTAATGGCCTCTATGGTTTTGCTAGTTACATTACCTTGTAGATTAACGAGGTTGTGTCCAACAAAACAACATCCTTGATCGACATTGCTTTTCTTTTGTAAAAATGCCAAGAATATCAGAAATACGGAAATAGGCATATTATTGTGAAAATGATAATTCCAAAGACAGCATTAATATTATACAGGATAAGGTGTCTTAGACTGTGGAGCACTGTCTGCTGGAACTAGTAAATGCTGTCACTTCATTGCCACCTTCTCTCCTAATCAATTCCAGTTTTTTTATATAAGCATACTGCAGGCTCAATCGGTCCTTGTGCCAATTGAGCCCTCACTATGCTTAAGTAAAAAAAAAAAAAAAAAAACAGGAAGATGCACCAAGAAAATTTAAGATGCTACTCAGAAAGCTCAAGTTTTTTCCATAATTGTATAATTTTGTGAGCGAAGCTGCTTCGGTTCTAAATCATTCCCTCCTCTGTTTCAATAGTCGGGTACAACTTTAGAAGACGGGAGAGGCCATGCTCAGATGACCGAAACACAGCAGCCAATTTGCTCTGCGACTAAAGAAATAGTCCTGCGAAAAGAAAGTGACTGCTTAAAAATGCGTTTTTGTCGGTATAATGAAGATTTGTTTATCGAGACGAGTGTTTTGGTAAAACTGCAATGTTGAAAATGCTTCAGCACATGCCGGATCACACATGCTATAAGCAACATCCCTCGCACATCATGCTCAATTTGGGAAGTGGCATAGAAACACATTTTAATGCTGGCATATCTGAATTGAAACACTATTGTTCCCTGATTATCACTGGCAAGCTTAAAATGCTCATTCGGGCAGCTAAACACTCACCTATCACGCTGCTGCCAACGATCGGTCGTGTGCGCGCTGAGCTGGAAACAATGAAGGCAGCATGTTCTCCGTCGGCGGGGACACTGGTCATCCGGCTCATGACGACACATGAAGTGCGTGCCTATTGGTAGAGGCTCGTGTGCACCCGCCTTTGAGGGGAAAATGCCGCTACGGTCTAAAGTTGTACCCGACTACTATATGTATGTAGCCACCTCTAGTTTATGACTTGCTCAATCGATGGCGTTGTGTGTATATGTCCTTTGAAATAATATAACTAGATAGCATTAGTGGTTTTCACTGCATATCCACAGAGTAAATGACGATAAGTGGGGCGAAGCGTCAGTGCATGTGTCCAACCATCCATGCGTCTGTCCGTCCATTCTTGCTACTGTTCGTCCATCCGTCTGTTTGTTCATTCGTGCTTACATCCATCCGTGAGTCCGACTGTGCTTCTGTCTGTGCGTCCATCTGTCCGGATGAATAGACACACGGACGGACACTTCGTTCCATTCATTATTCTCTCCATGGATAACCTGTGATATTTTGTTTTTATGGCTGTCACCAGATTAATTTCTTTACTTTCATGACAAAAAAAGTCAAGGTTCTAGTTAAACTTGAAGTTGGTTAAAATCATCTATGAAGAGCACAAGGTGTCTATTAAAAACTGACAAGAGCTCATTGTCTCAATTTTTGTGGAAATGGTGACCTGGCTGCTTGCCATTACATTTCGCACAAGGAGTTCACCAAAGTCACATGCCCAAATCATCATAACCATGATGTCCAAGCTCTCATAACGGAGCAAGTCATTTTAAAAAGCATATACATTCCACATAGACGACCTTTCATTTCTATGTTTAAAATTAGTTTTTCTCTTTATGCAATTCTGGGCAACTTCTTGAGTGTAGACATCATGTTTTTGGTACTTCTGCTGGCCAGACCGCAATGAAAATTCCCTCACATATTCCTTAACATGTGCAGCTATCTCATTGGAAAGCTGACATCACTTATATAAGTACTACGAACTTAAATTAAGCAATAAGTGTAGGCTGAGCATTTTAATACTTCTCAAATAACAATTTATCTTGTACACTTAAATGTCCTATACACAGTTTTGATGGTTATTTGCATTCTACAGTTAATGTAAAGTAATATGAGCCATAATGGATCATTGTTATAAAAGTTTAGTGGCAGAAAAAGCGTGTCTAAAATAGCCATGTTTTACACATTGTCGTGGCACAAATAGAAAATTATGCAACTTACTTTAAAGGGGCTCTGCAAAACTTTTTGAGCATGGTTAGAAAGCACTGCTGATCAGCAGTGGAGGTTCCCAAAAACACACGAGCCAAATATTATAATGCAGCACACAGCCTGGAGTTCAAAATAAATCATCAAAGTCAGCTAAAAATGACTTTCTCTTCTCTTGACAAATGACGGAAGACGCTCAAAAATCACTCGTAGAAGGCCATCTATCAGCCATTAGCTGATTTGAACAAGGCACGCTCAGTCGTTACAGGAAACGCCGCAAGAGGCCACCTACGCGTACGCATATGATCACACTAGAAAAGCCACGTATTCAAAGAAAAAAAAAAGAGAAAAAATGCTCAAGGTCACGGGGCGTGCGTGACGTATTTTCTTTGCCCCTGCCATCCCTCCCTGCTTAGCTTCCAGCACTTTCGTCGGGATGAGAGAACAGAGAATGCGTTTGCAGCATACGACAAATCTTAGTTTAAAATTTTGCGGCTGTGAATTCGTGAGACAATAAACTCTTTTAGTGAATTCATTTCATGGTTACTTAAAAAAGTGTTTCAGGGCCCCTTTAAAACTAATTACATAAGTGAAATCAGCATAAAACATAAGTAAACAGTAAATATTGCATTGCCCTATACTACAGATTAAAGCAACTTTTTTTTTTTTTTTTTTGAAGTTGCATCTTCGTTCAAGTGCCCTCCGGAAGAGATCACATTTCCTTAGAGTGACTTTATAGTAATAATTACAGATGAATACTGTCATGGTGCTCCTTGGAAAAGACCATCATGCACAAGACAGTAAGAAAGAAGAGCATAAGACCATTTTTCTTGCCACCTCATCACCCTATTCTTGACCCATCTCTCCAAGTGACACCAGATATATGGACTATCATTATCATTTTATAGAATCTTTTACCCACTATCTTATGTGCCTGCCAATGCACCAGTATCTCGCTATGTTTTTATACTATATGCTTGATCTCCAAGAAAATTTGTCATACCCTATAAGCTTTAAGTGTCGTGCAAAGCCTTGTAGCAAACATTTTTGGCATACAGTTGAACATTGTTCATATTCAAACACTCATCTTCATCTGGGTCATGGATCGAGCAGGATTCATCAGGCCCACACAAATTTGGAAAATACACTCAGACCTCATTATAACAAAGTTGCATCTTAGTCTAAAATAAGTTTGTTATATCCAAAAATTTGTTATAAAGGAATATTCCTAACACTATATCTATTGAAAGACTTTTTGTTTACTTCGTTATATCTGGGTTTGTTATATTGAGCTTTGAGTGTATTCACAGCATTAGTAAGAAAAGAGGTTCTGAATGAAGGGAGCCAGAATCCCTACTCACAGCGGTGGATAATTAATGCTGAACAATCTGCCATTGGTGACAACATGCAAAACCGTTGACACAACACTGAAAAGCACTTCTTCCAAAGTTATGTGACAGTTTTGATACTCGACTTAAGCTCTGTACATGTGTTCAGAGATGAAGCCATCTCATGTAGTCGGTCTCAGACAAATAGCCATCCACCTTTCTGGCTGTCCAACTAAGTACACTTAGAGAGCAGAACACTAGACTTCAGTGAGAGCAGTTTTCAATTCATGGTCTTATAACCAACAATCAAGACATTAGACAATCTGGAACCAGGACACGAAATACCAAAATGGAAAAAAAAGAAAACGTGGAAAGCATGGCTGTAATGCAAAAGAAAACTAATGTTTATGAATAAAAAAATTCACCAGACCTACACCTTGTGGGAATCTGTTTCATGCGAAGCACTTCGCAAGTCATAACCTATGTTGATTTTTTATAAGCATCACGAGGTGTACCGGCATGTTCTCATAAGTAACACGTCGTAAGTAACATTCTCGTGGAATAACATAACGTCAACTCTTCCATTCGAGCACAGATGTCAGTCTTATTGCAACAAAGCACAATTCATGGTGCGATGATGTAAATATCATATGTAACTACTGATACCGTATATTTCTCCGGGGTTGAGAAACACTTCAATACAGCTTGCTGAATCTTAACGATGCAAATGTATTGTTTATTAGACTATTATAAAAGTGGAGCCAACATTGGTACCTAACATTTGACATTACCCAGACATGAGGCCTGTATCACAGAAGTAGATATGAAATGTTTATTAGACATCCCAGCACTGCAGCTACAATTGCCATTGCACCAACACTACACCTACATAAAATATTTTTTCGAAGCAGTTTTGAGACCTCACATGTATGCGGCTCTATGGAAGCAGACCTGACTGCCACGCAGAATGCTTTGGTTTGATTCCAGCAGGGATCCTTATTTTTATTATGTATGTGCATTTGTCTGGTCATTGCTGCCCATGTCAATTTTTCTTAACACTCTTGCATTCAAATTACCAATGTCTGTTCTCGCTGTCAATCACCTGTGGCACATACCCGCATACTATGGCTTATGATATATGGGTATGTGCCACACGTATGGAGGAAGTGGTTTATGTCATGACCAGACAGTGATATTTGTCAAACCCTGTTACCCTACCATGCAAATTTTAATATATACCAAGTTCAGGAGGTGAACTCGAGAGCACTCAGACATAAGCGGCTGGATAGATAGATAGTAGATAGAAATGCTAAAGGTGCCTCAGGTTTGCTAAGAAATACTTCGCATTTAAAAAGGGCAAGCACTCGGTTAAAATAAATTATTTTTTTTATTCCCAATTTGGCAACTTGCCTACAATCTTGAAGCACATTCAAGTGCAGCATGCAGAAACTTGAACCTTGCTCCACTTCAGATGAGATTTTTATTAGGCAGTTGAAATGCAATATGCAAGTCCATGCTTAATGTCGTGGGTTGTGCTGCCTCAAAGTTCCATGGTGATGCTGCCTGCTTTGCCTTTGCGGCCCAACTGAGGAAATGTAGATTTGCCTGAAAAAAATATATACATATATACAGTTAAACATGGTTATAACAAATCAGAAAAATGAATGCACAAATAAACAAAAAGGAACCTTAAGGTAGAGCTCACCCAAAACACTTATCTAGCAGTAAAAAACCCATACTATTATTGAGATGACAATTATATGGACACTCTGGACGGGTTTTCGCCGCTACCGCCAAGTTCCGTAACAAGTCCGAATTGATAACATGCCCCTGTGTACTGTAACTTTTACGAACGAGAAAAAAAAGAAGCAGAGATCAAATGCGCCAGCCCATCTCTATCGCCTGGAAGGCGCATACGACGCCTTTCGCAGAACACAGCGGCTCTCGCAGAACACAGCGAAAAGATGGACCACCGCATCAATTTCGTTGATGCCCGGGTCATCGACACGAAGGGTAACCACACAAAAAAACAGTTCTTAGAGTCCTGGCACATCCAAACAAGGCCTGTAAATGTTAACCGCTCAACCGGAACTTTACCCAGTGTATACGTGCACGGTCTACAGAACCAGTTGAAAAAACACCGCAGCAACAACAACATCAATAGAGAGGAGATGGAGAGGGTGACACCGCCAAGAAAAATCGCTTCAGAGCCGGCCGAGCAGTCACCCCTGAAAAAGGGACTGAATCGGTCCCGAAACGTTGGGTCGGTTCTCTGGACTATAACTTGGCTGGAGAGTTTATGTTACTAGTATGAAAGTTCACCCAGCCAGACAGATATTTGTTGAAGATGTTCACCTTTAAATGAGTGCACTTTCAGCGCGAAAAGCCAGTGTGAAAAGAGCACTTCTCCCTGGATAGCCGTGTTTGCTTACACCAGCATTTTATAGGAGTTCCACAATATCGGATCTAAAAAAGTTGGCTGCTAGCCTTACTCCGTAGAACATAACAATTCCTTGCTATCGCATTATTCGCATTGCATTCAACGCATTGTCGCATTGCGTAGCTGATCAGCTAATAGACTTCGGACTCTGCTCAGGCAACACTGTGAAAAACTCCGCCACCAGTGCCCTCATTGCCGCGCTGGTCATAACTGAGTCTGCATGCAAATATGCATAGGCCCTTTCTTATTGTTCATGTTGGGGCGTGGCTTCCTGAAAATCAAGGACACGACAAGCTTCTTCCATTAATCCAACCTCGCTTCAGAAAAGTAGGCAGCTCATCAAAGCGAACTGCGGTGTGATGAGTAAAGGAGAGGCACGAGACGCATGCCAAACACCGGAGCCTGGCGACGGTGCAGCAGAGTCACCCGAGTGCACGCGCAACAGCCACACAGACACAAGAGATTGGTCAGAGGAAGCTCGGGACGTGTGTCTCATGGCACACGTCCCGAGCTGAGAAGAAAAATTCCAGAAAATGAGTTGGAACTGTGTGTTGGGACGCTGAGCTGCAAAGACATGGGAAACGAGCGTCGATACGGCGATGGGAGCAGCATTACCATTAAGTTCTGAAGAATGTCAGCACAATGAACACGGGAAGTGGCCTTCGACCTCGGTGGTCCCGTGTGAGGCTGCCCAGACTTGCCGCATCCTTGCTCAGCAGTTCCTGGTGGACTTACAGCTTCCCCACATCCCATTAGGTAGGTAGCAGCCAACACCAGTCAACCGAAAGGACGTGACGCATCAGGCCTAGCGAGGCCGAAAATTCAGACAAAGATTGAGACCTCGGTAATGCAGACAAGTGAATCATCAAGCGGACGCACGCCGCCGCCGATGACGGCGAGGTGGTACCACTTTGTCGTAGCTCCAAGGGTGGCATCAGAACAGTAAGAATGTTGTACTATTGCAAGAGAGCCCGAGAGTAGCCACTGAGATGCCATTTTGACCAGAGACAGTTTAAGGCTTAAGACTGAACTTGATTTGAATCAGTGTTAGCTACGGTATCGCTGTATAGCCAATTATTGTGTATGTACATGTTTATTTTGTTTGCCATTTTGTTTGGTGTGATAAAGTGGTCTTGCCACACTCGTGTCTCTCCCGCATCTCTCTCTCAAATCCATCCTTCGCAAGTGCTCCCGAGATAAAATTATTCGTGACATTTAATTGGAGAGCCTGTATCAGGTTTTTTCCCTTGTGTGGTCCAGTCACGTTATTGTTGGGGGGTGCAAGGAAGGAGTGGGAGAAGATACTGTGAGTCATTTGCGAGCGAAAACTCAATAAGGAACAAGGTCTAAAGTTTATTGGAGACTAAATGAAGTGCGTTAAAAAAGAGTGGCAGAACGAGATGAAGAAACCTAAGGCCAGACATGGGTGTGCCAAACAAGAGGCAAGACGCACCGAAAGAGAGGCAAGACGCGCTGAGCTAGAAGCAAATCATGCAGTACCGCTCAAAGCTTATGCTCGTGAAAAACAGGAGCTTAAGTGCCAACTGCGACTGGCACTAGCCAAAAGGGGCATTAGAGAGGACAAGAAAAGTCCCGTAGAAGTTGTGCTGGGAAAGTTTAGTGTGCCTGACCATGAGAGGTCCATTGCCACAGAACGAAAGGATAGAGAGCACGTCTGTTGTGCTAGCGACATGAGCCTTCTAAGCTGAGAGCAGAAGGAAAAGAGCTGAGACACGACAGATAGAGGTAACAAGGCACCGTTTAAGGAGGTATATGCCACTGTTGTTGAAGAGGGCAAAGAGAAAGAGAAAGCGACCCCTACAGACAATGGAGAGGCAGGGCATAGCGCTTCGGCGGTAAACGCGCATATTGGAGAAAGAAGCGTGGTGAAAGTGCGAGAGAAAGCACGCAAGAGGAAAATAACAAAAAAAGTGCCTAGACGTGCATAGTTGAAGGCGAAAAAGCAAAGCCGACGTAAACAGCTACAAAGGTACTGAAAAGTAGAGCCAATAACCAGGACACAAAAGACGTCGGTGAAGTTGTGAGTAGTAGAAAGCAAAGACAAAAAAAAAAAAAAAAGGCTACGAAAATGCATAGACTTCAGAGATTTGAAATGAGAGAGGTTCATGAAGGATAGGAAGCAGCCTCAGAAAGTTGGTTTGGAGATGCGTCGAGTGAACATCGACAGTGGGATCAGCTGTAGCGAGCGTTCGAGAGGATGGATAGCAAGTAGGCGCAGAAAAAAGCTGAAAAAGAAGCGGAATGTGAAGAAGCACCTACTTAAGGCAATGGTGTCCAATCAGTAAATGCTTTTGCAGAAAATAGATTCTGGACAGCGGACTACGTTACGAGAGACTTGATAGGTCAGCTTAAGCCGAGTTGAGCTGTTTATATATAGGGGATATTTTGTCTATGTATTGGAAATTGTGCAGATTTTTGGAATATTCAGTGTTAAGTACGGTGTGCAGTTGTTCTTGTGAGTGCACCGTGTAGTATAAGATAAGGAACTTGCGGACACGTGAACAGTTGATTGTAGTGCTTGATGCGTGTTGGTAAAAGTGTGTGATGGTGTGGTGTTGTGCCAAGTGAATATCAGTGAAGGCGTGCGGCTAAGGACGGTGATCTGCCAGCCCCGTTCACGTTCGGCCACAAGTCACGACATGGACAGAAGAACAGAAGGCGGAAACCAAGAAAGAAGAACAAGGTGCAGCCTTGCATACATCATTTCGAGAATAGAAAAACCGTATTTACGCACATTTATGCACCCCTAACTATTAGCCAGCTATTCGGAAAAAAACATTAACTCGCATATTTCGCGCTCTCCAACCCGCCTGAGTCAGCTCGCCAGCTCGCGCACCTTTGGACATTTCAATGTTTCGGCTGGGTGCGCCTCACCGAGCAGACGCGCCCCAGTCAAACAGGCTGCGAGCGCGAAGTCCCTTCTTTCAAGGACTTCCCCCCAAACTAGGGTCTCTAGAATACTGCACTTGAACACAAACTTGATGACTGTCGTTGGAACTGCGCAAGCATTTGCCTTCCCCTATCTCCCAATTTCTACCATCGGAATAATGGTGAGTATGCATGTTTGCATCACGGCAAGGACGACTTTCTGCATCAGGAAGTGTGAGGGCCTTTCGCAGCAATTGTTCTCCTCGTTCTCTGCGTCCGGGCTGCAACGCATGCTTGGTCGATTTCGGAATTATCGGTTTCGCCATCCGGCCGACGCGTTTTGACGGTTCCGTTACGATGTGTTACAATAGTTATATATATGGCGAAATTGAAGCTCGCTGCTGTAAATTTTGGCGAAGAAAACGGGAAGTGTTCCACTGCATAGTACTTCAAGGGGGCGTACTTCAAGGTGACGACCGGCGCAATTGGTGCGCGAAAAAGCAGAAGAGTGCGCGCTTGCTAATGCAAATTTCTTGGCATTGAAGGAGGCCTTTTCAATTATGTGCGAATGCTTAGTTCTTCCGGTATCGCCTTGTCGTGGGACCTAGTATCTCCCAGCATTGTCGAAAGAGCTTCAAAAAAACTAGGCATTCGAATGCGCTCGACGGAACCGAGGACTATGCGCTTTGGGAGGGCGGTGGCAGTGGCCGCGACCATAATTCCCAATCGGACTTCGCGATCAGTGATTCCCGCTAGACCGTGTGTGACTGGGTTTGACTGGTTGAAGTATGCGCCAATTCTTTCAAAATTAACACGTACACTTTTTTTGTGCTCCAATTTATTTCTTCTTTATTTAAATGTATATACTGCACGCGTTAGGACTGTGACACAACATTTCGTAAGAGCTCGCGAAATTCCTGCGTAATTTTTGCAACGGGGCCCGAAAATCGTGAAAAAAAAGTGCACAAATTATGAGAGTAAATAATATGGTAAGCAGTTTTTTCAGAAAAAAAAAAAAAAAACTCTTTAAAAGGAAGCGAAATGTGATGAGTAAACAAAGAGGCATGAGACGCATGCCGAACGGGGAAGCGTGGTGACGGTGCGCGAGAAGAGTCACCTGAGTGCACGCATACCAGCCACGTAGACGCAAGAGATTGGTCTGTTATGCCTTGGAGTCCAAACTGAACTTCATTGCCTCTGCAAAGGCAACCAGCGTAAAAACCAGCGAGCGTGCCGAGGTGACGCTATCCCCGTCAACGGTGTGTCTTATGCAACG